TGTGACTTTAGTAAATCAGAGAACAAATCCAGGTCAAACCAATCTTTAATTGCAATCTCTACTCTGTTAAGTTGCACTGAGTTTACAAGATATTTAACCTACCGTAGTAAAAAAAAAAATGAGTGTGGAAAAATTTATATTTTGAAGGTATAATATTTCAGACTATATTCTTTTGGACCCATAGACTTAAAAGCAATGTGAATACACAGCAAAGCAGAAGAAAAACAAAATTATACATAAAAACTAAGGCATTTGAGGCTTCATAAATTGTCACATCTCTATGTAACAAAGAAATTATTTAGGAAATAATTTGTGTGTAATCTTTTTTTGCTATAAAAATGGATTTTTTTTTCCATAAATCTATCAATGGTTAGTGAGACATTTTCTTTTTCCATTTGAGAATTCTGGTCCCCCAACCTCCTGACAGGAAGTCCAAGTCTCTGTATTAATTTCTTTTAAATGAGATTATAAAAATTTTTTATTGAGAAGAGAGGGCATGAAAGATATTAAGGCTTTCCTATTTGGACAGAGAACAGTTGGACTGATTTAACACCAGTGGAGGGTTTGTAATCCTAGAGACAGATTTGAACACAGAAGTTGTAGTGGTTCCAATTGGATGTCGAAGAGACAACAAGGACCTGACCACTATTTAGCTAAGCACCATGACCTTGGAGGGCAGAATGAGGAAGAAGTCCTGGGAGATAAATTTGGCAGGGAAGGATTAGAAGCATTCAGCAGATTGACCTATCTTTAAAAGGAGCATGGAGATGCCACAGTGGGATTTCAGTCTTAGTCAAAGTGAACTGCAGAGCACGGTTTCTTCTCTCATAATTCTGGATCAGGACACTCTCAGAGTTTACTTTATGATCTCAACACATGGAAAGGGGAAATTTCCAAATGATTGACAAACAGTTTTCAATGATCTGGTGAGTGAAAGTAAAAACAGTTTTATATTTCTTTAGAAAAATATATAAATCTGTGTTTTGTTTTTTTGGTTTTTGTTTGTTTTGTATCTGAGCGTTTGGGAGGAAACGTATATTGGTAGTACAACCAATACACATAATATGTATACATTGTTACATAGCTTTATATGAATGAAAAGATTATTCTCACCATGCTAGCTCTATTACACTACCAATTTTTTTTTTAATTTAAATTTTTGTTTCTCCTGCTGTTACCTGGTTAAGCATTCATTATTCATGTAAGATATCGAAGAAAATGAGAGAAGAATACTAGAATACTTTGTTTATACATATTTAAATAGTCACAAAGAAGTAGTTATTCTCAAATGTACATAAGAATGTTACAAGAGGAAAAAATCTTACTACACCCATTCTTAATGTTTGTATCTTTATTATGTGCTAAGCATTCAAAATTTCTTTTTTTTCTCCCATTGTTTCCTTAGGTTTACTTTAACAAAAAAGAAAGGAAGAAAAGTCATCGTTACAAAATACTTCTCATCTTTGCTTCAGAGTCTCCTGATTTTGTGCCTCTTAAACAAAACTCAGGAGCCCTGGTGGTACAGTGGTTAAGAGCTCGGCTGCTAACCATAAAGTCGGCAGCTTGAATCCACCAGGAGCTCCTTGGAAACCCTATGAGGCAGTTCTACTCTGTCCTGTCGGGTTGCTATGAGTCAGAATCAACTCGACAGCAACGGGTTTGGTTTTTCTGGGTATACCAAATTAACATTATAATGCTGCAACATAATCATAAAGATATGCAGCAAATTTGAAGACATTAATTTAAATCTATACCAATTCTAAGTTCAAAAAAACAGCAAGCCTATGTCAGTGGCATTGCTTTGTTTCATTTGGAAATTTCTATCCATACAACAAGCAGAGTGCTGTCCCTTTTGTCAAATGTCAGTGACTTATAGATTGAATAAAGCGATCTTTCCGGTTTTCAGGATTATTAAATATTTTGCAGATGAATCCCAATCCATGCTTTTCTATTTTTCTCCTCCAGTTCGAAGCCTTGAACATTTCATGGTTTGTCATTTACCAAGGAGTTGGTGACAGAAAGCAAATATGAAACTCAAACTGGACCTTGTTTATTTCAATTATTTATGTTATCTAAGTTAAGGAGTCCTATAACACAGTGGTTAAGGCAATCGGCCGCTAACTGAAAGATTGGTGGTTCAAAACAACCAGCTGCTCCTCAGGAGAAAGATGTGGCAGTCTGTTTCTGTAAAGATTTACAGCCTTCACCCTACAGTGCAGTTCTACCCTGTCCTACAGAGTCACTGTGAGTTGGAATCTACTCAAAGGCAGTGGGTTTGGTTTTTGTCTTATTCTAAGCTGGAGTCCCTTGGCTGCTAACTGAAATGTGGAGGTTCAAGTCCACCCAGAGAAAACTCAGAAGAAAGGCCTGGCATCTACTTCTGAAAAATCAGCCATTGAAAATCCTATGGGTTACAGTTCTACTCTGATACACATGGGGTCGCCATGAATCAGAAACAATCTGATGGCAACTGGTTTTATTTTTTGCTGACTTTATTTTAAAATTATGAGTTCCTGCTCTTCCGTCTAATTTAGCATCTTTGCAATGACCTTTTTATTGATTCAATTTATTATTATAAGATTTATTGTTTCTTCAATTCTATACTATTTATTCCTATGCAAAAATGCAATATTTAACATAATACCTAAAAGCCATAATATACTTTAAACATAACTTAGATTTTTAAGGAAACTGTTGTCTCCATTCTATCTTTTCTTGGATGGATATCATCAATCATTGATATTTCTATTCTTCTTGAAACTGATATACAAATTATGGTTAGGAGTTAGATACTAGTAGATAATAATATATATTTATAGCAATTATAAAATACGAAAATTTAGTTGGGTGAACTTTTGAAAATTTTACTTCTTTTTCAACACTGTTGCTTTCTGCCTTGTTTCTTTATCCTTACTATACCAATTTCTGGAAATAGGAGTAAAGGTTTTAAACTAAGTTAGTCTGAATAACTTCTTACTGGCAATTTATAAAATGGATATATAAGAGAAAACTAGACTTGGAAGTTCTAGTATTGGGAGTGGTACAGTCCCTAAAGTCACAGTCCCAGAGTTGTCCAATGACTGGCTTAATGCCACACAGCTAAGCTGTGGAAATGTTAGACCTGGAAGTAGAATCTTGTGATTATAGGCATGAAGTTCTTTCTACTATAATACACTCCTGTTATAGCTGAAGTTACAGCTGAAACCATAGGCTGACACATTATAGAAATTAGATGATCTACCTGCAAGTAAAAAGAACTCTGACTTAAGCTATATTAAACAATTGTCCATAAGTGATCTCACATAATTAGGTCAGAAATTAGGCAGGTCCCAGTCAGGAGTTCAACAAGTCAACAATTCATCAAGAACCAGTTTGCCTCTATTTCTCATCTCGGCAGCCTTCAGGTCACATCATCATTGGGCTGAATCTACCTCACCCATTCTCACTCCCCACTTCTTGGAGCCTGAGAATGACAACAGCTAATAAAATCCATTGAAAAACCAAACCTGTTGCCATGAAGTCAATTCAACTCATAGTGACCCTATAGGTCAGAGTAGAATTGCCCCATAGGGTTTCCAAGGAGCAGCTGATGGATTCAAACTGCAAACCTTTTGATTAACAGCTGCAGCACTTAACCATTGTGCTACCAGTGCTCCGCAACAGCTAATATATGCATAAAATCCAAACGTTAGAAGGTCTAGAAGAGGATACACCTACATCTTCCTTACATCTCGTGAGGGGGTGGGGAAACCTTTCCCCATAAAGAACTCCACTCTTGTCTCAGAGACCAGCACCGGGCCACGGGAGGAGCAGGACTAGCATAACTGACGTAGACAAATAACCTGGTAAGATACAGATATTAGAGTCAAGCAGCAGGATCACTACACATCCTTAAATGGTGGCTGAATCACCTGTGGACTGTTTTTGGTCATGGATATTCAAACGTTTATTATAATTATTCATTTAAGTGTCTGCCTTCCTTGCTTACATACTGGGAAAGAAACAATTTGCCATAAATTATCTTTTCATTGAACAAAAAAAGTCAGTACAAAAATAGTCAAAACAGGTTTTTCAAAGCTTGCTTTTCTAACTTCAAAGACTGTACAATCCCTTTGTGAAAATCAGTTCTGTTGTTGAAGAATAAACTATAAGCCTATACTAGTATTGTAGCATTAACTTGTGTTGTATGTCATTTATTTTCTGAAGCCAGACAGTGAATCCACCTTGAGGAGATTTTTTTTTTTAAGTCAGGCTTTCTGAGAAATGAGGAGCCTGAGGGGATCCCATTGATTTGCCAACTATGTCACAGTCCATTTAAGGCAGAATGGCACATGGTTTTGACAAAGGCGATGACAAATGGCTACGTACTGTAGGGACAGAACCAACACAGATAAATAAAGGAAATCATGGAAATATACAACATGAGACAGAAACTAAAATAAAATTTAAGATTATAAATGATCATCAACCTATGTGCATAAACAGTATCTAGACTTAAAGTAAGTGTCTATAAAACTAACATCAATTTTTAGAATAATTTCTGAAATTTTACACCAGTTCAATATTGCCAAGAATTGTGAATCCAAAGAAAGAACCACTTATTTTATAGCATTTATACTAACCTATACATAATAGTGAATATATTTTGGTACTAGTAAGTGGAGACCCTGGTGGCGTAGTAGTTAAGAGCTCTGGCTGCTAACCAAAATGTTGGCAGTTCAAATCCACCAGGCACTCCTTGGAAATCCTATGGAGCATTTCTACTCTGTCCTGTAGGGTTGCTATGAGTTAGAATTGACTCGATGGCACTGGTTTTTTTTTTTTAAATAAATTTAAAAAAAAGGTTGCCTGAGTTTCCATTTTCTAACTTTAAGAAGTATGCATATTACCTGATAGACATACACACTAATGTACAACACAGATAAAAGTTAACTAAATTTTAGGGATTAATTTATACTAGTCTGCAGTAAGGTGTATTAGTAATGCTAATGGATACTAACGAGGTGCAGATCTTTGCAGGTAGAATTGTGCTCACAGGCATTCAGGATACAATCATCAATATCCTGTTCACATTTCAATCCAGCATAGCCTGGGCTGCATAAGCAGGAGAAGCCATCAACCACTGAAAATGACAGAAAAGAGAAAACTCCTTAAAATTTGTTTTAACCATAGTACAGGTAATTTTTTTGAAGCAAACGTTACATGCAATAAATAGGTTATTTTTGTCCTCAATTCACTTTTCCTAGATTGTTTTAGGTTTAAGACACAAGAAGACAGCTGGTTGTAAAAGTTACGTGACAAGTTACATTAAAGGGCATAGTGACCCGAAAGGTGATATTGAAATAGGTAAGCCTTAGTTAAAAAAGAGATTTCACATTTCATCATAATCCTTTAAAAATAATGATCAGAATCTGTCCTCTGTTTTATTATTAATGGTGAAAAGACTGATGTCTTTAAAGCATCTAAAGGAAATGGTGACAGCAAGAATTGCAGTTGGACAGGCATGGATTTATGGTTGCTTCTCATCAGTCCCTGGGTTCTTCATTATCTCCAGATTTACCATGTAATCTACATGCCACTCTGCCTCTGAGCAAGTACCCACTATTACTCTCATTAAATGCTTTAGATCCTGTGTGATAATAGCTTTTTCAAAACACTGTAAGATATTTAGGCTGCTTCTAGATTCCTGCAGTCCTGCTTCTGTGCAGCACATGTAACTGGGACCTCTAAGGAGAACAAGGCAGAACACAGCCAACAGAAAGAGACAAGAGAGACACTCAAGGATTGGCAGCTCTTTAGGCAGCATTTTATTTCTGTTTTAACTTTTTCATCTAGCATCCTAGTTTTTAACATCTCTTATTGAATACAAATGGTTAATAAATATACAGGTATAATATACTTGTATATAAATTAATAAGATAAAATGGTGTCAATTGTTGCTTTACATATTCCATATGGTATTACGGATATTAACAAATTAGAAACAGTGTCATACAACAAGTAATTAAGCCATTGTGTGAGATCATCCATCATAGTTCCTTTTTTAAAAATACATTTATGACAATTTGTTTGACTACTAAGGAAAACTGGCAAGTCACAAACAACTAGAATCAAATTAAACTTCAGCACAGATGTAGGCATTATCTATACAGATAAGTGATATTTCTAAAGACAAAGAAATAAAGAAAGATAATTTTGAATTAACAAAGGGTCTTACAGACAGATTGTTGTTAAAAATAAAGCACGACTTCATCATCAAGAAATGTGCTTTCTCATAACAATGCAAAAACACCAGAATTGAAACTAGATAACTGGGAGCTCCTAAAAATCAAACACTTATGCTAATCCAGAGACTTCACCAAAAGATTTACGTACCCAACGACAGGACTCCAAAATACATAAAAGAAACTCTAACAGCATTGAAAAGAGAGATAGACAGCTCCACAACAGTAGCAGGAGACTTCAACACACCACTTTTGGTGAAAGACAGAACATCCAGAAAGAAGCTCAACAAAGAAATGGAAAAGCTAAATGCTACAATCAACCAACCTGATCTCATAGACATATGCCAAACATTCCACCCAATGGCAGGCAAGTATACCTCCTTTTCCAATGCACATGGAACATTCTCCAGAATAGACCACATATTAGGCCATAAAGCAAGCCTTAACAGAATCCAAAGCACTGAAATATTAC